GGGATGTTAGAGCTCAAATTCATATTATAGTTTATTAAAAACTAGCTCCAATATGTCCCATTCTCTTAGAATCCAGAGATGAATATTATTTACCATACTTCATAATCACAGTTCTCATTTTTATTGTTTAATTAATGAAGAAACATTTCAATAAATGTGGCCATTGCTGAAGAGATTGTCAAGGTATGGTATACACTAGTCATCCTAAATCAGCACACCATTATTCACAGAAATAACTTTGAAACGTTGTTACAAAAAACTGAGACACAAAGCAACATTCAGAATGTCTGTTTCTGTGAATGTCTTAAGGCTTATCTTTTCTATCATCTCAGTCCCAGGACAGCTTCCTGCTCCTCCAGGGTTTCTGACACACTCAGGATGTGGTTGCAACACTGTGTCTTGCACAGAAATAGACCGCGGAGTCTTCAGATGTCAGGCTGCTGAGCTCCATGTGGGCTGTGCTGGAGGATTTGTCTGCAGTCAGTGTGGCCTTGCCCTGAAACTTCTGGTTGTATTTAGTGTCACCATCTCCAGGATAAATCCATCCAATCCACTCCAGGCCCTGTCCAGGCCTCTGCTTCACCCAGTGCATAACATAGTCAGTGAAAGTATACCCTGAAGCCTTGCAGGACAACTTCACTGAGGTGCCAGGTTTCCCAAGTTCAGGCCCTGACTGATGCAGCTGTACCTGGGAGTAGACACCTGAGAAGAAATAGAGTAAATTGTTAGAGACCTTGTCACCTCAGTCCCTGTCTTCTTCTCAGGTTTGGAATTAGAAATCATTTACCTGTCGTTACTGACACAAGGAAGAGAATGATACAGCTCCATCCCATGTTGTGGGCCTTGTGTGCTCAGTGACTGGAGAAGACACTGATCATATGTTGTTGTTGGGGGTGGACATTCCTGTATTTACCATAACAGAATCAGGTAATTTGCATATTCAAGAACAGGGTGACTTCTTAAATAAGCACCTAGTTCAGTTTGAGAAGGTGGGGGAGGACACTTGCGTCAAGCAAAAGGATGATGAACTTCAAGTCCTAATCCTTTCTGAGGAAATGCATATCATATCATTCCCTCAGCTCTGCCGATGTGGTGGGTGTAACAATAAGGTCCTAAGCTCTCAATAGATTTCTGGCCTGAGGCAGTTGCTCTACTTTGTCACAAGGTTGTCATTTTGATATACAGAAAAAGGTTGTGATGATAATGGTGGTGACTGGAAGTTTAAAAACTTGCTAAATTTTGAGAAATTATAGCCTCATTTCAAATGATTAATATTTGCCATACCAGAAGGTTTAAAAGAAAAACTCACTGAAATGACCTAAAGACACACACCTCAGAAATATTTACACATTAATGTTTAATACAGCACCATCTAATGGAAATAAACTTCATATCTGTCAGGAGAAGACTTCACAAAGAAGACATGGCTGCATGTGTAACACAACAGGAATAGGTCTGAAAGAATATCGAACTTACATCATCTTTAGGAAAATCAATGTAACTGGAGATAACTGTATTAATTAAAATTATCTCTGAAAAACAGATAATATATGAAACTCTAATAAGTTTTTATATATTGAATAAGTACACAGAACTATCTAACAACTTAAAAATGAAACTGTCTAGTAAAAGCAGGAATATCTAGAAAATAGTAGTGTGGGGGAAATAAGCACAGAGTAAAATGTACAATTCTGAAAATTCTAAACATATATAAAATTGTTATTTTCATTTTTCAAAATAACTGTGCTTATCCTATAAAATTTTCCTTCATGTATAAATTATATTGTGATCATGTCTATCCCCAACTATGTTCCTATAAATTCTTTGGGACCTTCCAAAAAGTTTTTGTTTTGTTTCATAATAGCAGAATAAGTAAAAACTCTGCTATTTAGATAAAAATAGGTGTGTCATTCCATAATACAGAAGGTATGAAGGAGCCTCTAGAGACCTTCCCAAGAGTGATTATACTTTTTTCATCACTCATCCAATACCAATAGACTCAAAGCTTGGAGTTGGCCAATGAAGAATCCCTGCCTATCATGCTGCAATATTTCTTCAAATTTTTAATTGTTTTCTCATAAAGTACATCCCAATCAAAGTTTCTTGTTACTCTTCTCTCTCACCCATACTTCTGTCTACCACAGATGCATCCTGTTCTGTCTCCACTCAGAAAATTGCAGACATTCCAGAAATATCCATAAAATATGGCATAACAAGCTACAATAAGACCAGGCAAGTACCATATCATCAGCATGTATAAAACAACCCAGTAGAAAGAAAAGTGTCTAACAAGTAGGTCAAAGAATCAGACAGACCCCATTTCCAGTGTCAGCAATCTTAAAAGCATGCCAAGCTATTCAGCCATAACAGGTATGCTGAGGAACTAAGGCAGCCCTACCAGATCCCTAATTTCCAGAAACCCCCATGAATCCCCATTAGTTGATTATTAGTGATCTCAGGATGTCTGTGGGGTCTCAGGTTTTTACAGTCCTTACTCCCACTCTTTAGTTGGACTCCATGAATTCCATCTAATAGGGCTATGAATCTGCTCCCATCAGTTGCTGGATGCAGTCTCCTTGGTCTCAATGATGAAGATTCTGCTAGGTTCCAGTCAAAGAACACTCTCCAGGAAGGACTAGTTAACTCTAGGCCAATGGTTTTGTGGCTGCTTTGGTGTCCTAACACCTCCACTTTAGACCTTGCATGGTTACAGAAGGTACTCTATTCAGAAAAACAGGTACAATGTAAAATCTATGCGATCTATGAAGCTAATTCTATCAATTATTTCTAGAAATAGGGGACACAGAGACATTTATTATTTTTTTAAATTGTTACATTGTATTCAATGGTGAAAGCAAGGCACAAATAAATCAAGATACATATAAGAACTTTGGAATAAAGTTTATGAAATTCAGTTCTCATGTCTATCAAGTAGATACAAAGCAATTAAAAGAGTATTGCCAAGATTACAAGTAGACATATTTACTCACTCGATTACTTCACAGATTGTCATGTTGACTTGCTTGATTTGTTGAGATCATGTGCTGGTAACTGTAGATGCTGAGAGTTCATATGTATAGTAGCTATGTCAGGTCCTGAAGATGGCATTTCATGGCTACCCACCCCATATTTTGGTTCTTAAATTTGATCACATCTTTTTTGTGAAGGTCCCTGAGTTTGGGGTACAAAGTGTATACAGATGGCTCATCTCAGTCTTCCATTCTTAACACTTTGACCAGGTATGGATGTCTACATTAATAATTACCCACTGCACAAAGAAGTTCTTGTGATAATGGCTGAGAGCAAGAATAATCTATTGGTTGTAAAAATAATTATTTATATTGCATTTTGACAACATGACTATTAGCAATGAAACTTGGGTAGGGTCTACAACAGCCTATGTTACCCCCAAGCCATGGGCTTTTGAACATCTTTACCTGGGATGAATATTTACAATGGTTTACTCAAAGAATATAATTAGATTAAAGTTGATCATCACATAACTCTCAGGCACTAGTGGGTATATCTTACTGGAAGGCTGTTATTGAAGGCTACAGGATCTGGTACTTTATATGATCATTGATGTTCTTATTCCCACTGCAGAATGAATAACACCTTCCCACATTAGGAAAGAAAGCTGAAGGGAGAATTTCCCATTCAATTTCTGTTTTTTTTTTCTCTATGATGTACAGTGATACAGTCCTTATCTCACAGTGAAATGCACTTCATAACAACTTGAATGTTCTATTTTTACCTCAGTTAGAATGACTATAAACAAAAAAATGATAACAAATGCATGGTTATGGTTGTGGGGAAAGCATGATCCTCATGCACTTTTGATGACAATATACACTAGTGTTCTGACTTTGGAAATTTCATCAAAAAATTTCACAAAAATCTATTCTGTGCTCTAACTTTATTCCTCCAAGTATATACCCAAGAGAGTCTAGATCTTACTGTAAAGACACTTGCACATCAATATTTATTGTTCTACCCTATTCACAACAGATGGGAAATGGAATCAACCAAGATTTCCAACAAAGGACAAATAGATAATGAAAGCTGGGGCACATAAACAATGGAATATTCCTCAGTAGTAAAACAAGAATCATGAACTATATAAGTGAGTGGTTGAGACTGGAATGAATATGCTGAATGAGGTCACCCATGTCCATGAATACAAATGCTTCATGTTCCCTCATCTATGTGAATCCAGGATTTGAATACTTGTTTTTTGTGTTTAACTTTTAGAAGCCCAATGACTAGAAATGTGTCATTAGGACCTGAGGTATTAATGGAGAAGTATAATAAAAAGGACAAGAGAAAACCAGAGGGGAATCCTGGAGAAAGAAAGTGTCAAGCATGAAGTGTGACTTGGGAATTGAGAAAGCAGGAGTCGGTGTAAGGCAAACCGAAATTGGAGGTGATATGAAAGCTATGTGTAAATACAGGATCTTGTAGCAGAGGTAAAAAATAAAGATGTAGACAACATGGAGTGTGTGTTGCATGATGAAATGAAGTTAGATTGCTTACAGTAAAGTTAAGTGTACTATGGAATAAAGAGAAACATGAATTACCTTTGTTGTTTCAATAACAGAAAATGGTGAAATAATAAACAATAAATAATTCCCTTGTTCTAAAATTGCAATTTTCTTTTGTTGACAATATTTTTCATGTTAAGATAATAACATGACGAGAGAGAATTTACATGAAAACTAATGGATTAATGAAAACTGTAAGCAAACCTTGTTATACGTAGATAGGACTTGTAGTTTAGCTGTTAGTGCTATTTCAGTGATCTGTTCTTATCTTGATCTATGGTTATCTGGGTTATTGCAGAAACCTGAATAGAAAGTACAAGGATGAACTTTGAATTTTATTTTAACCTGTGAGATTTCAACAGAGGTACCTGCCTGGTGAACAGTGTTGCTTTCTAAATACGTGAGTTATTCATTTATCATCTCAATGCAAAATTAGAATAACTCTCTACAAGTTAATGGTCAGAGTGGCCTGACAGGTATAAAATCATTATGAGGTATTGAAATTGTCCTTAGTTGACCCCAATAACTTAGTAGTTTGACTGGAAACAATTAAAAACTCAATAGATTGTAGGAGCCATTGCAGATTGGGGGTCCTAAGGAAAATATCTTAGAGACATAACAGGACTGAAGCATAGGTGAACCTACAGAGATTATGAAAGCATGCACAATGCCTGCAAAGATTTAATCCAAAAGGGTTTCACTGATGAGAGAGAGAAAGAGAGAGAGACAAACAGACAGACAGAGAGACAGAGAGACAAGCTTTCAACCCAAAGCAAGAAGTTTCAGCAATTATTGCTTGGAAAGGAAGAGTTAGTTTTCTGTAATTGAGTCTCATTGGGTATATTCACAACACTTAAGTGTGGGGTCCACACCCAGGAGTACATGGCAAACACAAAATGACCTCAATTGTATGTTTGGTAGATATTTTCTATCATATGAATTTATACTGCATTTATTGTTTTCTAATAAGTTTTTTTTTCAGTACTATGTTTCCAGGGTTTAATTGCTTAAATTTTTTTGGTTTGGTTTAATGTACTTTAGATATTCTCTCTCTCTCTCTTTCTCTCCCTCTCTCTCTCTCTCTCTCTCTCTCTTTCTCTCTCTCCGTCTCTCTTTCTCTCTGTGTGTGTGTATGTGTGTGTTTCTGTGATCTGTGTATTTTTGCTTGTTTTAATTCTATTTTTAAACTTTTTTGTTTATGTGTTTGCTTTTTACAGAGAGAATGAGCTGGATGGTAGGGAAGAAGGAAGGTTCGAGAGAAAGTTAGAAGACGGATATTAGTAATTATAATATATAGCATTAAAATTTATTTTAAAAATACATAAATGGTAAATGGAAAATGAGTAAAATAAGCAAGAAAATTTAAACCTCTATAAATTTATATAAATAATTTTTACTGCTCTTGAGCATGGAAAAATCACATGTCATTCATAGTAGGTGCAGATCAGCTAGTAGATTTTAAGTTAGGATACCACAGAGAATACAGAATAACCTCCACTCAAAATTCATCTTTTTACTAGGGATTCTTGGTAATATTGTGCCCCCTTCTGGTTCTGAGATCCCCTGCAGGTTGGTATGTCAAGGCTTACACAGAAGTCTGCCATATAAATAAACTGAAAAAATAATATGATCATCTCATTAGATACTGAAAAAGCATTTGACACAATCCAACACCTGTTTATGATAAAGGTCTTGGAGACATCAGAGACACCAAGAACATATCTAAACATAATAAAAAACAATATACAGTGAGCCAACAGTCAACATCAAATTAAATGGAGAGAAACTCAAAGTAATTCCACTAAAACCAGGATTGGGACAGGAACAAATCATCTCAGTGCAGCATAGTTCTTAATGTTCTAACCAGAGCAATAAGACAAAAAAAAATCAAGAGGATGCAAATTGTAAAAGAAGTGAAAATGCAAATTTTATCTTTTTTTTTTGGAGAGTTACCACAAATGAGGAACTTTATTAAAGGGTCATACTGTTAGAAAGGTTGAAAGTCACTTTGCTAAATGCATATTGACAAGTTGTTGGTCTCTGTATTAATTGGTCTCAGCATTGCTGATTTTATAAAAGCATGCCAAAATGATGGCACAGAGGAGTATGAAGCTCAAATTCTGTTAGTGTCTGTGTAGCCTCCTATATGTTTTAAATGTGGAGGGATATAACCATTTTAAATATAATATAAACAAAATCATTATAATCATCCTAGGTATAGTAAATTTTCCTCTAAAATACTTGAAAAATGTAAAATGCAATTTCATTGATCCATTCAGTGTCAATCAAGAAGTGCTGACAAAGACAATCAAATTTCAGGAAACGGAAATGATCAACCAGCGCTACTGATGACAGGATCAGGCCCCTAACATTCCCATCTTGGTATCCTAATGTTCTTTCCCAGTGGTATCTGTGCAGGACCCCAGCTTGTTGCCAAAGCAGCAGATCCCACACCCTACGGAATTCACAACATAACATTCTGCTCCATCCCTAATGATAAGAGAGTAAGAGGCTTAATTACTACTCCCAAAAGCATTTCATGACTCATGATAATGTGCATAAATGAATAAGATGTAAAAATATATTTCATAGGAAAGTTTAAAACATCTGCCCCCAAAATTCCAAAAACTGTCTGTACTTGTTTTAGGGAAACCAAATCCGACTATGAAAGGGGTTTTGTTAGCACACATGCTGTTGTTTTGTCTTTACTGGCCTAATCCATATTAATGCTTATTCCCAGCTATATCAGCAACACTTTCATTCCCTTGGATTTAAGATATATTTATATCATAATGTAATGCCACAATCATATTGTCCTACTTTACTTTATAAAAAATTAATCATGTCAATGGACGTGGTCACTGGGAAACAGCAGGTCAAGGTATAGCATACTGTAAGGGCATTCTGAATTAGCATCACTTTATTCCTAGCAGTGTTTTTGAAAATCCACAAAGACTCTATAAGACTGTGAAGAGATCAAGAGACAACTTAGAGTGATCGTTTTGGAGCAAGGATCCAGGACAATCTTCTCTGCAATCTCAGTCCCAGTGCAGCTTCCTGCTCCTCTGGGGTTTCTGACACACTCAGGATGTGATTGCAACACTGTGTCTTGCACAGTAATAGACTGCAGAGTCCTCAGATGTCAGGCTGCTGAGCTCCATGTAGGCTGTGTTGGAGGATGCGTCTGCAGTCAGTGTGGCCTTGCCCTGGAACTTCTCATTGTAGTGAGTATTACCAATTCTAGGATAAAAATATCCAATCCACTCCAGGCTCTGTCCCGGCTTCGGCTTCACCCACTCAATAGTGTAATCACTGAAGGTGTACCCAGAAGCCATGCAGGACAGCTTCACTAAGGACCCAGGTTTTCTAAGCTCAGGACCAGACTGCTGCAGTTGTACCTGAGAGTGGACACCTGCGAAGAAAAAGGCATAGTGTATATCACTGTCACTTCAGTCCCTCTTCCTTCTTCAGGTTTGGAACTGGAAAGCTCTTTACCTGTAGTTACAGACACAAGGAAGAGAATGGTCCAGCTCCAACCCATCTTGGAAACCTGTGTGCTCAGTGACTGATAAGAGGACACTGGTCATATGTTGTTCTGGGGTATGGACATCCTTGTATCTACCACAATAGACTCATGTTATTTGCATATTCATGAGCAGGGAACTTGTTAGATAAGGATCCTGTCCAGGAGGAGAAGAAGGAGTTAGAGAAGACCTGTGAAAGGTAAAAGAATGCTGAGGGCCAAATCCTAATCCTGTCTGAGGAAATGTATAAAATGTTTTTCTCTGACCCTGTGCAAATGCTGAGGATATATATCAGGGCATAAGTTCTCAATAAATTTCAAGACAGAGTTGCTCCTCTTTGTGAAAAGCTTATCAGTCTTATTTATAGATAGTGGTTGTGATAATAAAGATAGTTCTGAGAAATTTAAAACTGCCTAGTTTGAAATTCTTCAGATTGATGCAATTAATATTTGTCTTTCAAACAAAATATAAGCTAAGAATATGATCAAAATGAACAAAAGTAAATGTACTTCAGCAATTTTTGCACAACAATGATTATTGCAGCAATATCACAAAAACTAAATTATGGAAATAAATCATGTTTCTTTCAACAGAGGATTTTATTAAGAAGACATATTTATATAAACAACACCTGCAAAAAATATGGAACTTACATCACTTATAGAAAAATGGATGCAACTATTGATAAATATATTAAGACCATCTCAGAAACACAGACATAAAATGAGACTCTTATTAATAGCTTATGTGAAATTCTCTAGCAGAATCAAGGAAAAGAAAGAGGGGAAAAATTAAAGATAGAGATTATGGTAGAAATATAAACAGTGTACAAAACACACATATATGAACATTCTAAACATATGTAAAATGTATTTACATTTACTAATTAACAATTTTGAAATTTTAATCCATGTATAAAATATAGTATAATCATATCTATATCCACTATGCTTTACTAATTCCTCTTGGAATCTTCCAATAATTCTCTCCCAACTTCATGACCTCTTTCATATCATGAACTAATAACCCAGTGAGTACAATCAGTAGTATCTATACACACATAGGTGGAGTCATTGACTAGTACATAGGAATCCTCCAGAAAAACTCCCAAAGGAAATTGATTATATTTTTCCTACGAACAGAAAACCAGATTATGGAGTAGGCAAAGACAAAGGAAAGATCTGGGAAGAATAGGCAGAAAGGAATCAATGATTTTCAAAATATCTGTAAAGAGCAAATAAATACTGAATAAAATAAACAAGAAAATATAAACCCATAAAAATAGTGATAATTGACTCTTTTCTGCCCCCTGATGGTCCTGTGCTCCCATGCACTTTTGTTTCTCATGGCTTACACTGAAGTTGCTCTGTCTGCCTTGAACAGTAACACATCCCTACAACTTCAGTCCTCACCGAGCTCCATTGCAGGGATAAATGGCTCTTGTTTACCTGGAGATGCAGACTGGAAGTTTCAAAGATTGATTTTAAGATGTCCTATACGATCATAAATGTGAAGCTCCTCCCTGATGACAGTTGCTCTAACAGTTCCCACTTGTAGTAAGGGGGAGAAAAAAGAGAAAAAAAAAACTTTGACTACCTTCAGTAGACTGTACCTGGGACAGAGCACCTGATGTCAGAGAACCACAATGAATCTTATTGAGCTCAGATGCAGCCCCCCATAGATCCACTCATGCATGCATGAGGCATGCAGATAAAGTGACCGACAGAAAGAAGAAAGCCCACTGTTGTACTCACAGAAAAGTTAACAATTCCAGAAAAATTTAGGTTAAGAAAAAAGAAAAAGTGAAGGAAATATATGCTGTGACTCAATCTGTTTCCTACACAACATTTAAAGGAATGAGGGGTCACGTGGGATAACCTTGACAAGGATCCTCATGGGTGGTGGATATCTGTGTCTACACAGATTTATCTCTCCATGTTTACCATTCCAAGTCCAGAATCCCCTTATCCTTGGACAGGGCATGTGTTAATTATGCTTCTCAGAAGCTGAACATTTTCATTGAAGAGGAATGGATTTGGAATATGCTCCCAGAAATAATACTGCCAATAGCAGTATGTAGGGATGTGTGTGTTTAATTAAAAGGTCTGAAGTAAAGCTGCAATGTTAAAAAATAGATACTAAATAAATTCAGGATATTCATGTATATTTTGTTCTAATATCATGTCATGAATCAGGTACATCTAATATTTTAGGGTAGAAGTAGCTGAAACCAGACTGATGTATGTCTTCTCTTCTACCACTTTTCAGAATTGATATGATGTTTTGTGGTTTGTTAGTTCACAGGTCAACACCCTCTTCTCACTGTAGAGGAATTATTATTCCTACAATTTATGGAGACATTCTCCTTTTACAAAATAATCCATCCACAAAAGTCTGAGCTTTATGATAATATAAATAGATACTATGAACTTATTCTCCTGAATTAAAGTAATGTTAGTATTGTAATATGTACACATCTGATTTAATGAATTTAAAAGTGAACAGGAGGTTTCTTTCAATCCATTATCTATTGATTTCTATCATTTTCCCATTCTCCCTTTATTCTGTGGACTATTTTCCATTCTTTTATGGCTGCACCATGTTTTTATTAACCCCTAGCAGTTCCTTATGTTACAGTTCTATATTTTATTCTTCTAAACACCACTTAATGACCTGAGCACCACTTTCACAGGTCCTTAAAACCTCCACAAGGATGTTTGTTTATGGCTGCCTGCTCACATATCATCATACTGATTCATTCACAGAATGATTGACCATGATTTCCTCAGTGGTTAGATATCTAAGAATCAGAAAGATCCAATTTAGAGATGTTTCTTGGCATTTATGGAGTGCTCACTTTCTAAGAAAATTGCATAGAAACCTACCTCTTAAGAATTTTATAGACGAACTCTGTAGCCCTTTTCTCAGGGAATATGTCATGAATCAACAATGCTAATTTATTTGTCCCTTTCTCTTCTTCTTCTTCTTCTTCTTCTTCTTCTTCTTCTTCTTCTCTCTCTCTCTCTCTCTCTCTCTCTCTCTCTCTCTCTCCCTATCTCTCTGTCCCCCCCTTCACCCTTCCTCCTCCATAACCCCCTGAATAAACATTCAACCTCAAAAAAAACAATGCTAATTTAAACAGTCTTTAGCAAAAAGCAAAGATGACTGTAAAACCCATATATCCCTGAGACCATAGAAGATGGTCTTGTGTCATTGTTTTCACTATTCTGTAACATACTGTGATTACTGAGACTGAGGAAGACTATAAATATGGAGTCAATGATCGCTGCTTAATCTAAGAACCTATTCCTAAAAATTCATAAATGTAAACTGGTTGATGAATAATTTTTAAATAAATGCTCAACAGTAACTTTCTTCATCTACTAGGAATTAGACATTGATGTGAAATGTGATCAAGCATTTCTACTTAAATGTATTGACTCAATTATGGAAGACACATGCTCCTGTTGATATCAACGTGAAAATGTTTGGATCAGGTTCACTAACTAAAAACTCCTGCTTTCTCAATGTTGCATGCCAGGTGGAAAAACATCTTTATATAATAAAATTAATGCTTATTTTGTTGTTCTTTTCCTTGGTACTTAAACATAAGTATTATGAAAGTCTTCGGGTTAATCTTCTCTGTCCTCTCACCCCCAAGGCAGCTCTTCCTGATACCTCAGGGTTTCTGATACAACTCAGAAATGTATTGTGACACTCTTCTTAAGCCAGTAATATAGTGCAGAGTTCTCAGAGGTCAGGCTGCTGACCTATACATAGATGGTGTTGAGTATTTTGTTGTATCCAGTATGGCTCTGTTCTGAAACTTTTATCCATAGTTTATTGGGCCAATGCTTAGGGTTATCCATCAAAGCCTTTTAAGCTCATGTCTAGGTACTGCCTCAACCAGTTCCTATAGGAAATGAGGAAGCTATCTGTGTCAAAGTCCTTTTAGGAAAACTTTATTGAATCTCCTGGACTCCTCAGTCTAACTCAAGAGAGCTGAAGCTGAACTTAGGAGTGGACATTGCATGTAGAAAAGATGCTCCAATTACTTCAGTCTCTGGCTCCCATCAACCCTGTTACTAGTAGTACACTTATCTATAGCTGCTGCCACCAGGTAGAGGATAGTATGAATTCAATCCACTAAGAACCTATATGCTCAGGGACTGTGAACAAATGAGGATTAATGTGATACTGTAGGTTGTACAACTATTCCTGTATTTACAATCACAAAATCTGTAGTCTATATAATCATAAAAACTGGTATTTCTTATATCAAGACCCGGTTCTTTTTCAGAGAGAAAAGGTAAAGTATTACTATATTAGTCAATGGGAGGATGAGGTTCAAGAGTTAAACCTGTCTGGGGAGAGGCATTCCCTGCTTCCTCCTAGTTTCTCTATTGAGAGAGCTCTTCCATATGATCGAAAATCTAGTCACCACATCCATGTTAAAGTGAAGCATACTTTAAGGCTTCAAGGGTCATGTGAATTAACTTAGAAACAACCATATTTGTGATGCTCAGAAGTTGCATTGATCATCCTTCTCCCATCAGTCACTGGCACAGAGCTTTGGGGGCTGCTCCCCATTCCATAACAATATTCAGCGGGACTATGCATATCTTTGATATCAGCTGTGAACTCCTGAGACACTTTCCCCAAAATGTTGCATAGCATCCTAGACCTCTAACATCCTTAAATGTTACTGGTAAGTCTTTTGTAAACTAGAATCTTATCCAACAGCAGCAGGAATCTATTCTGGACCTTGGTGACATCACAATGGATTTCATTTAATAAATAACCTCTCCAATGTTGTAACATTGAGATCTTACAGTCAATCAGACCATGGTCTCTGAATGTTATGATACTGGTAATGAAATTCAGAGAGATCTCAACAAATATCAACTGGAAACTGTACAACATTCTTAGCTAGAGAACTGGTGGATCCACAATGCCCTCTGCTGGTTCTGGTAATGGGCTCTGTAAGTTCTCACACAGATCTCTCACGAGGACTCCA